CCCCCCCCCCCCCTTCCCCAATTATGTGGAGCTTGTTTTATCTTCTTCATGTGGGAGTAGAGGCAATATAGAGATCTTACCAGTATTTTGGCTAAGGTCCAGTCAGATGTACATTTGGATGTAGGTCATGGCCTGTTATTATCATACACATTTTTACATCTCATTCATTGTTAAATAATTTTAGCAGTTGCTTGGCTGTCATAAATAAGATTATATTCATTTAAGTACCATATGTCCCTGAATAAGATCTGTGCATACATTTTGTAGTATTTTAAGAGAAAAAAATGGAATTCAACTTAAAATAAAGAAGAGTGTAGACTAATCAGTTGTATTCATGTGGTTAGTTTCGCTGTAGAAATCCACATGAGCATGTACAGTGGTTGATAGAACTATTAATAATTTGAACAATTAATAATGAAATTAAATATATTGTATCATACTTCTAATTTCCAATCTTCTCAACTGCTGCTGGATGGAGTGCTCATGAATTTGCCAGAAACACACAATATGAGTTTATGTATGTGTTATGAGGAAAGTGAAATCAGGTTTTCTAGACGATGCCAAAAATATCATTCAAAGTATGAAATATTTAATGTTTGATACATTGCGTAGTCATTATAATGCCAGTCATGAAACTGGTAATGTCAAGCTTATGCAGACATCTTTGAGCTTTCATTATAGAATGTTTAAGTATTGTACAAAAGGCCTGGATTTAAAACTTTGTATGTGCATGTGTGCACACAGAGTGACTTTATGGAAACTGTATATTAGGTATTCATCTCTATGTACTTTTTTCTGTGATATTACTTATAATTTTGCCCTACTTTTTGCTTATCAACTTTATGTTTTCAGTCACAGCCTACCTCCAGCAAAGAAAATGGAGATCTGTCATATAGTACATTCTTCTCTGCGAACAGCTGTCTCATTGCTTCAGAAATGTCAGACAAAAGTCAAAGAGCTAGTTTATTCTGAAAGATATTGTAAAGAAGGCTACTTAGTGCCTGATATGATTGTGAATCTGGCTGCTTTGTTGGACATGCATTGTAACCTTATGCCAGGATCTACAGATTATTCAGAATCAGATGGAATCTGGTATGTGTAATTGTATTATATGCTGGGTTCATGAATTATAAGTGTAACATTTGTGGTTTAGTCTAGTTTTGGTCCATTAACTCTATGTACATACATTTTTTTGAGAGTATGCTGTGAGTACTGAAAGTCAGTCTAGCTCTAACAAATTAAAGTCTGTGAAAGGTCAACCAAAGTTGATCAGTCTCTTCATACTTGCTGGCTTCCTACTGCTAAGATTGAATGACCATTGCAGAATAGCTTTAAGACAGACATAGACAAACTTCAGGTAAGAAGAAATGACAGTGACAGCAAAATATATTTAAAAATTATAGTAAAATTAAAAGAATTACTGATATTTCAATGTTTACACTTTTTAAAGTAAATTATGTAAATAGAAGAAATCTCATTCATTTTCATACCTCTCACTACAAAACTTTTCTAACGTTGGTTCAAAGTAGTACTGTTTGGGTATCTTTAGTAATTTGTGGATTGTGATACAAAAAATGTGTTATATTCTTCTGAAACATTGGTAACCATTTGCAAGACTACATTATGATACAAACCAGAAGATACCAATCTACATTTTCACTGCTGTAAAAATCTTTAGTCTCATGTTTTATTAACTTCTTTTTCATTTCAAATAAGGCAACACTTCACTAACATGTCTGTGATTTCTCCTAATAGGGAATGGGTTCAGTTCTTGTTATACATAACCAACTTCTTTCAAGGATGTAAGACTCTTTGTCATGTACATAAATATTTATGAGACACACAAGATAAAATCTGTCTCTGTATGAATTTTAAATATGAAGAGTTTGTGAGATGAAGTTCTGTTCGATGCTTGCAGCCATGCATTATCTGATGTCATTGAGAATCCTCCTGCTACTGACACATTATCCTCTTTGCTAGAGTTGGTAGCTGCTCTGATGAGCTATTCAGAGATGCCTATGAACACACACATCAACTGTGGGATGGTGCTTGTCCTCCTAGTGATTCTCTTGGAGAGTACCGGTGGAGAATTGTGCAAGGTTAGTTTTTTTGAGTCCATGTAACTTAGTTACTAACTATCACCATGGAGCAGAGACCTTTTTGAGAAGCTAATAGTCACTCAGGTAATCAAGAAATTTCCTACCTTTTGTAAAATTTGAGGTTTTCACAACGGTGAGTATGAAGATTTCTGTCTTCTGGGTTGTTGCACTGTGTAGACTGGTCGATGTTAATCAACACATCAGAGGTCATACTGCCTCCGTCATCAGGGCGATGAAATCTTCCTACCTTTTATTTAATCCAGTCAATCATTATCATGTTCACAAGACACCCTTATCCTGAGCCAGATGAATCCATATTGCTGAGGTGAACAGTATAGTACTCAGTGCATCATTAAAGGTTTAATAATGCCATGTACATGAAGAATTTTATTACTTTGAAAATTATTTGCGTAGCTTTTATGTGTCCTGTGTATTCATATTTTGTGTAGTATTATTGTGCTTTTCAATGTATAGTGTCTTATTTAAATCTGTAAGGTAAGTCTTGTGATATGTTATTTGTGTTTTATTTCAGAGTTTGAAAAATCAGAATGTGCCATGGGAAGTAGATCTCTCAACTGACTCTTGTCAACTCAACATGTGTACTGGAGTGCTGAATGCCCTAAACACATCAGAGTTATGTTGTATGCACCCTGTAACTGGTGAACCTATTATAAATTTTGTGTTCCATCGTCTGTTTGCCATCAGCCAGAGGTATATTTTGTTTGTTCCACAAATTCTGAGAATCATAAGACCACATAAGAATCTTTCATTATGTTCTGCAAGTTTCCAGGAACCAAACCACAGTCCAAAATAATTGTTATTAACCTTTACAAAATGTTCATTCTGAAGACAATTCAATATTATTACTTTGTTTTTATTAATATTCAACTGTAGGAGCCATGGTAGCTCATTCATTATAGTGACTGATTACGGACTGGACAACAGAGGTTCGATCATGTAGGATTTGAGGTTTTCACAGTGGTTAGTCTGAAGATTGCTGTCTTCTGGGTTGTTGCGCCATGTAGTATGGTAGATTTCCACCTTTTCAGAGGTCATACTTCCTCCATCATCGCCTTGTGTCTTCTTTTTTTTATGTTTTTCTCTTCTTTGATTTTTTAAATTTTCTTAATACAGTGGACTTGCAAAACATGTTACAACAATCTTCACACCTTCAATAAGTCAAGGAATGAATGTTTTTCCTAAATGTGTACTTGTTTCAATACAGGATGAATGCGGATTGTGGGATGGTGTTGGGCATAAGCCGTGCTTTTCTTCTTCTGTCTCGTAACCTGTTGACCACAGCTGTGCAGATGCGAGATGTTTCTGTTGTGGACAACATGCTTGAATTTGTGTGGACACATCTGGAGCATCACATGG